CTTGACTTGCTTGTTCACAACAATGCCGACGGCATGCTGGGTCACGTTGTAGACACGTCCGGTTTTGCCGTGGTAACATTTGTGTGGCATCCCCTTCTGAACAGTGCCCATGCCCTGGGAGAAAGAGACCGTTAGACGCCAGTATCTCCTGCCTTTTAACCCCACCTCACAGCTAACTAGGTTTGTACATGGCAGCTTGGAGCTCTCAGAGCCGGTGAAATGGATTTTTCATGTTGCTTCAAAGCAATCAAACAATCATCATCAAGCTCAAGTGCCTGGCTACGTAGAAATTCGGACAGAAGAGCGCTTATCAACAGCCATCTCTATCCTGGTCAATCATTAAATCTGGCAGCGTGCCTTCCAACTAGACCAAACCCAGTGTGTTCCAAAGCCCAGTTTCGGGCCAACCTTGACGCTTACCTTGATGTCCACAATGTCACCTTTCTTGTAGATTCGCATGTATGTGGCCAGGGGAACGACGCCTGCAAGACAGCATGATCAACGTCAAGACAGAGACTGGCGTAAGCTCCATTAGCCACCAGTGCACGCGCGCGCACACACACACACACACACACACACACACACACACACACACAGGTAAACTTCAGTCTCCTAAAAGCAAAAGCTACTGATCACAAGGAATCAAAGCTTCATTCTGTGCCACTAAGCAGTTACTTAGCGAAGCAACTGCTATATAAAGGGCACAACTTTTATCCATGACACAGTAAGCTGGGCAGTCACGGAAAGCTACTCAACGAACATACTGCGGGAGGCTGCCCGCGGCTCCCCACTGGGGATAGCCAACTCACCATGCTTCCTGAAGGGCCTGGAGAACATGTAGCGGGTGCCCCTCCTCTTTCCCTTGGTGTTCGTCATTTTGGCAGGTTACTGTGAGCAGAAAGTATAAAAGCGTTATGTGAACATCAAGATGGGGCTGACCCTTGTTAGCAGATTAAGCAGTTAGGGCACACTTATTAAAAAGCTGGAGACCAAACCTATTTCCTTTCAAAGATAAAACCCACCAGGCTGTCCTGACGATCAACTGTAATCCAAACTCACCCCCTTGCTCCCCCCGCCCCCACCCATCGCTTTCTACTAGAGATGCTGAGTGGTTATCCAATCCACCCAGGGAAGAAGGCAGGCAGACAAGCAAGCACCAGACCAGAGCAGACCCAGAACCCTAAACTGGGAATCACAACCAAAACCAGTAGTCTCTCCTCAAGTCTTATGAACCCAACAAGACCCCATCCTCACTACAGGTAGAGCCCCATCTGGTTGCCAATGGCATTGGAGTACAAGTAGGGTGCAATTTCTAGTTCGAGTGTGCCCCAAGAACCAGCCTTCAAATTGTACACTGTGTATCGATCAAACCCTAGGGTGGCCACCACGCTTCCCAATCTGGCATCTCTTTCACACATAAAACCTCAACGGTCACAAAATGCAAACACGGTTCACGTTTCCAGTTACTTAATAACCACCTCCACCTCTACCCTCACCAAACAAAACCCAAACCCACTGCCACTGAGTCAATTCTGACTGAGACCCTATAGGACAGGGTAGAATTGCCGCTACAGACAAGACTAACTCTTGATGGGCGCAGGAAGCCCACAGGGTAGCCGGGGAAGGAGCAGCCTCAATCCCACCTGGGCTTGCCACTGACTTGCCAGGAGTCCTAAGTCATCCTTATCTACAGGCATTTAGAATCGACCTGTTTCCCCAAATGCCCACCCAGTCACCCTGAAGAGTGGTTCTGAGCTCTCTGGTCACTCAAGGGCAGAAACACCACTTCCAGTAGCAACTCCAACCCCAAGGCCACACACAAGACAACTGAATGTGGCAGCAGTGCCACAAGCATTAGAAATAAAAGGTGGTCTCCAAACGCTCCTTCAACTCCCCAAAAGGGAAAAAGACAGGCTTTCTACTCCCATAAGGAGTTAAAAGTCTCGGAAACCCAGAAGCAGATCTACCTGTCCTTTAGGGTCACTACGCTCTAAATTGGTGGCAGCTGAGTTTGGGTTTCACGGTGAACAGCTGTATTTACTGGCCATAGGACCCTTTCCAGGACCAAGTGTGAGGCAGCCACCTACCTCTAAATTCCAAGCACCTCTCTCTAACCGTCAAGGTCCCTGCATTTACCGACGTGCTTATAAATGGAGATGCCGTGCAGGTCCCGACCACATAAGACAGCAAGTTAATTCTGCCTCCAGAGGCCCGGCCTTCGCCACCAGACCTGCTTTCTCAGGTAAGAAAGCCCCTCACATGTCAAGACCATTCTCGTGGGCACCGTCCTAGTGCAGGCTTGCTCGGCTGCATCGAATCAGTTCGACTCGCGGCGACTTTACGCACAACCGAATGCAACACTGCCTGGTCTGCGCCATCCTCACCACCATTCTTGGGTTTGAGGCCTTGGCTGCAGCCACGGTGTGGATCCACCTCGTTGGGGCCTTCCTCGTTTTCACTGCCCCTCACTGATCTCTCCTGACGACAGGTCCGTAGCCCCTGAGACAAAGCCTCCCCGCAGATAAGACTAGGAGGATACCGAGCTTATTGGCTGTTAAAAAAAGGGGGGGCGCGCAATACCACAGAGTCCATGCCGGTGCTGCGTAAGGCTTCTGAAGTTAGAGGTTAACCCACACATGAAAACAATAAAGGCCTCTAAGCTAGGGGCCTTTTCCCTGGCCCTCCCACACAGGGCACCCCAAAATACCCAGCACGTGCAAGTCCTAAGTTAGACAACACCTGCTCTGGGCGCCCACGGAGGTGCTTACGATCCGGGCTGGGCGGGTAAAAGCGTCCGGACGTCAGGGCGGTTGGAGGGCGCGTGCAGGCCCAGGCTGCCCCCGAAGCGGGGCCTCCCAGCGCCGTTCCCGCCACCGCGTCAAGCTCGCGTTCCAGTGGCCACAAGCCCTCCCGCCGCAAGGCCTCGGCGACCCCCGAGGCACCAGGCCCGGAGCTGAGGCCCGGGGAACGCGAAGGCCGGCAGCCTCCCAGGCGAGACTCGGTCTCGTCCCGTCACAGCGACCTGTCCCCCGGCGGGGCCTGCAGCCCCGCAGCCCGGCCCTCCGGCGCCGCCCGCCGCCCCCAGGTGAGACCGACTGCCCTTCGGGGTCGTGCTGCTTCGCCTTCGGGGTCCCTGGGCCACGACTCGCGCCTGCAAAACCCCAGACGCCGGGAGCCACGCGCACGCCCTACCTGCAAGATGGCGGTTCCGGCCGAAAAGAAGGGGGCGGGCCCGCTGCGCGCGACTTTCAAGGACCTGCGGGCTGCCCGCGGCGCCGCCTGAAGGAACCAGCGGCCGAACGCCACGGCTTAACCCCGAGGAGGCGTCGTTCCCGAGAGCAAGGGCCCGGGTCTGTGAAGCCAGTGCCCTCTGTTGCGAGAGAGCTGACCAAACGACAACTGTTGACCCTCGGATATTTCCAGGCAGCCCGGAAAGGGGGCCTTCACGGGCAGCAGCAGGACGCTACGCCGAGCGTCATGCCGTCAGGCGCGGCGTCAGAGCCGAAGCCGGAAGTTGGTGCGCGTGCGCGTGCACGTGTGCGGGCGCGGGCGCGGGGGTGGGCTCTTTGATTCGCGGGAACGTGTGTGCGCGAACGTTCTGCAGTAGTCCGGCGAGGAGCTCGTCGCGGTTGTCTTCGTAAGAGTTTCCTGTTTCTCGGCGCGTCCACACGTAGTTTAGGTGCGTAAATTGCTGTGAGCAAGCTGGAAAAATCTGGTATAATTGAAAGTTTCAAATGTTATGCCCTAGCAAACCAAAACACCAGACTCACTGCCATTGCATAACACTGGCTCACAGCGACCCTATAGGGCCGGGGAGAACTGTCCCTCTGGGTTTCCGAGACTCACTCTCTGCGGAAAAGCCCCGTCTGTCCCCCGAGGAGAGACTGCTGGTTTCGAACTGCAGACCTTGCACATTGCAGCCCAACTCGGAACCACGACTCCACCCCAGGGATCCTTTAAGCCAGGCAATGGTTCTCAACCTGTGGGTCGCGACCCCTTGGGGGGGGGTTGTCAATCGATCCTTTCACAGGGTTCACCTAAGACACCGCTCTATCGTGTCTAGGGGGGCCCGCCCACAGAGGAGTGCCCAGCGTGAAGACTGTTACCCAGGCTACACCATGCTTCAAGCAAAATTTCATTTATTTGTAATTAGAAATAAATATTTCATAATATATAGTTGCATCTTGTTTTTGCGATTCATCACTATGCTTTAATGATGTTCAGCTTGTAACAATGAAAATACATCCTGCATATCAGATTTTACATGATGATTCAGAACAGTAGCAAACTTACAGTTATGAAGTAGCAACCAAAGTAACTTTATGGTTGAGGGCCACCACAACACGAGGAACTGTATGAAAGGGTCACAGCATTAGGAAGGTGGAGAACCACTGCTTTAAGGCATGGCATTCCACTTCCAAATGTATGCCCTAGAGAAACTTTCACTTGGGAACAGTGGTGCGCATAGAAACAGCACAAGCAAACATTTAAAAATGTCGATTAAAAAGAACAACAAACAAACACTGCCATCCAGTGGAATCTGACTCACAGTGATTAAATTTACACAAGTCAATGGCCTCATCTTTTTCCCAAGGAGTAGCTGGCAGGTTTGAACTACCAACCTTGCTCTTAGCAGCCTACAGCTTGCCTAACAGCACCACCTTGTGATTCAAGATTAGTTTGGAAATTCACACAATAAAATATGCCAGTAAAACAAGATCAAGTTCAAATGCATCATGATGAGACAAAAAAAAAAAAAAACAAGACATAATTATCCAGGAGCCATGTGGTAGAGTGGGTTACATGTTGGGGTGCTAACCACAAGGTCAGGAGTTTGAAACCACCAGCCACTCCTCAGGTGGCAGGTGAGGTTGTCAACTCCGGTAGACATCAGTCTTTAAGCCACAGAGGCAGTTATACCCTGTCCTATAGGGCTGCTGACTTGGAATGGGTGGGATAGCAGGGAGTTGTTGCTTTTGTTATTGTGTCATTGTCAGTTGCGGGTTGAGCCCATTCACGCCCAAGGCAACTCTATCCACAACAGAACTAAATGCTGCCTGGTCCTGCCTCATCCAGCCACTTCTTGAGCCTGAGCAGGTATTACTACTGACTGCATGCCAGTCCATTTCACTGAGGCGGCTCCCTTACCTTTGCTGCCCCTCTCCACTTGACCAGACGCGATGTCACCCCCTGGGATGGACGCCCCGCCCCCCATGGCCCTCCAAAGTGAATGAGCTGAGAATGTCCTGTTGGGAACCATAGGACTTC